GGGGGGGGGGGGGGGGGGGGGGGGGGGGGGGTGTTAAATGATATATTTTGTGTATGGCTGCTTAAGTTAGGAACCTACCAAGTCTGTGATATTGGGTTACACACAAACAACTTCTCAAAGGAACACTTTTCTTGTTTTTAAAAGTTATACGCATGCTGCTATTAAATTTCGGCAACAGCAATGTTGCTTAAAATAAGCACAAAAGGTATGTAAGATCTACCCTAGAGTGCAATGTTACACATCCTGGAGGGCAGTTGGACAAGTTGAAACGTTACATTGAGAAGAAAATGAAGGAAAAGTAGCTAGAAGATGTGTTGCTTGTGAAGACTGCCTATCAGGCAGAGCAAAAAGAAGCGTTGCAAAGAAAACCACCTCACTGCCAATGACTGTTCCTGCCACAGCTGCTCCATTGAAAGCAAGGGCATTGGAGAAGGTGAGTTGTTTTATTAAATAGTCAATGAAAGTATGCCTCAGCTTGGTACAAAAGCATTGATGGTGTAATGGCGAACACTACTGCTTACTATACAAGCAGCAGATCTGGGTTCGATTCCCAGTCAGTGCTATTTTAACTCCAAGCTTCATTTATAGCTCCAAGTTTAGTGATTTTTGGTGTTTAAGTAGTCATTTGGATATTTTAAATATATTTTTAGAAGATACATTTGCCCAAGGCATGGCAAGACACGCTGCCCATCCTTCAGCAGGAATGGTTGAGCAAGTCGCTGTACACATGTAATCCGAAGACTGGTATGTCTGTAAATATGTATTCCTCCCACATTTTTTCCTTGTGGCAATGAGGATATTATTTTTTACCACCGTCTAAATTTATGTTATTCAGGCAGAGCCGAACTTGTATCCAAACTGCAGATGTGGTGGTACCCACCCCAGCCAAGACAACAACACTCCACCCCTCCGCCCGATCCATATTTTCTCCTGCCATTCTTCCTTTGGGCACCTCAGAAAATCTGGGGTGTCAAACTGCTGTGCAGCGACGAGTGCCAAGAAAAGCAGAAGGGACAAGGGGCAACAAAGGTTTGCATAGTTAAAAATATATAACGAATCGTGATATCTACTGCATGTTTATTTTAATTAAATACCTATCATCTCATAATTTCTCAATAGATTGTCAACCTCACTCAGGCTGGCCTCTACAAGACTGTCCGGAAAGTACTGGCCATCGATGGCTGGTATTATCTTGGCACGGAATACCTAGAGTGCAAATTTTGCAGAAAGAAGTTTGCCTCATGGTCGAACATGGTAATGAAACAGCTTAGCCTGGCACACCAAAGCTACTTCCCAGCTGTTTTGACCTACAGGTGATAAAAGCAGAACATGCATGCACCACCTTTTATTAGCAGCACCTTTTCTGGAATGTAGCTCATGTGATAAGAGAACACTTGGAAACTCATCTACCAAGTTGAAGAAACAAGTGACAGAGCAGCACACGGAACACCACATGAACAGGGCACTGCAGTTCTTGCAGGCGCGGGAACCCTTTGAAATACAATCATCAAAGGGCCTGTTCAAGATTCCGAGTGCTGCTCAGACCATCCCACCCCTCCCAGCCATTCCAAAACCAGACTGGTTTCTGGCAGTCTACTTGCGAGACGTGATCAACAGGCTGAATGAAACGAAAGCGAAAATCACATCAACTGTCTCGAACGGCGAACTGAAGCGGAGTTATATTGAAGAAGCGAGAAGTTTGAAGGGCAGTCGTTCGACATCTCAGCTTGTTAATAATTCTGTGTTTGGTCGCTGTGAAGATGCTTTGACCGTGAAGAAGAACGCTGAGGCCGAAGTAAACGTAAGGGAGAGAGCCCGAAGAACGAGCTGAGTGTACTTGGCCAGTATGCTCTTCAATTTGGTCTTTTTAAAGGCATTTAAATCTTTTAGATGGTCGTTGGAGAATGGTCTTGGTTATGCTGACTGGCTTGTTGACATCATGCGTTCTGAAAGAGGAACGACAGCACCGTTGTCTGTCAGCAAACATGCCTTTAAAAGATATCTCACCAGCTTCCCTGATGGTCAAGCTGTTGTTCAGCAGAAGAAGAGTGAACGCTTAAAGAAGACAGCGCAAACTCAAGCGAAAAGTAAGATATAAAACTTTGTATATTTACGAATATATTCGTGTAAATGTTCTCCTGTCATTTGTTTTTGTATTTTTATAATATTCACTGAGTTATATTGTAATAATAATATGTATATTCTCTCCACAATCATACAACAGTACATTGCTGATTTTTAACAAGTGCCGGTGTGTACACCAGAGTTAGGCAAGTGTTAGATATAGATGGGTACTATATTCTAGCTGCAGAGTACTTGGAGCGTCTGAAATGTGGCAGGGAACTGATTAGTTGGAGTCCAGCAGTCATTAAGCAACTGGATGATGGACATGAACTTCAGTTTCATGACACACAAGTATGCCTGCGACGTTAGGGTTGTGCGCTTGCTGCGGACGAGGAGGCTGGGTAACAGCTCGACTCAGTTTTACCGGAAACTAGAACAACAACACGAGGAAACCTGGTTGACAAAGTGTGCCCAATACCTTTCGGACTGCCAGCACTTCGCCAAGGCTAGAGATCGAAGGATGCAGACTTTGTCGACACCGGAAAACCCCCAGAGAGAACTCTTGTCCCAAAACCCAATGGTTCTTGACAAGCTGTTGTCAAGATGTCCTGTCCCGAGTCGAGGAAGTCAAGGCTCAGATAACGTCTGTCTTTGGAAGAATCCTTAAAATTGACTGAACAAAAAAGGTAAGCTTTCCTTTCCCAAACCGTATTAAACTCTATGTTGGATCACATCTTATAACACATACGTCAGCGTGCTTGCTTTAAAGGAAAGCCTTTATTGTGAAGGTTCGATTCCTTCACCGTGCAATTAATGTATTATATTCCTTCCTACATTGAGTACTTATAATAATCTAGTTTCAATTAATTTAAATTAGTTTAATAATACAATAATTTCAATTATTTCAAGTAGTTTCAATTTTTACAAAAATAGTAATTTATCAGTTTGTAATCTGTGTGTATTGTTCTTGTTAAGATTGCTAAGAAGCTGGCTGGGAAGACTTCTTTTACTGCTGCCTGGGCGACCAACGTTGGGAACGAGTTTGGCCACGTGTTCGCGAGTGTGCTTACTGCTGCAGAAGGTAACGGTCTACAACAGCTGGCAACTGGTCTCGTTGACTGTTACGAGAAAGCTGGTGTGAGTCCTCCTGAACTTGTGTACACAGATCGTGATTGCTGTTGTGTAGGAGGAATAAAGGCTATGTTTTCTGTGCAAATTAAACATTAATGGCACACTGTCCAATTTAACCCAATTAACGAATCAGAATCGCGTAAATTGACTGTAATGATATTAATAGGAAATTGCATTTGTTCTCGAAGTATTAATGAAAAATTGCAAAAATCAGTAAAAATTAAATTTGAAAAATAGAATTACAACTAAAAATAAAATTAGCTTATATTAAAAAAAAACCAATAAAAAATTAAAATAATTATATTAAATAAAAATTAAAATACTATGTATTTGTAGAATTTCCATTGGCTAACAGTTGGCGGAAGGGTACTTTGGTCATCGGTTGATTCTGTGGATGCCAAAGAAGCTATGGCGGTATCGGCTGGTGTGTCCATTTCGGGAGACGTGTAACAACCACAAGCTCACATCTGCAGGTCTGTACCCGGTGGTTCGTCAAGTGTTGGATGTGGATTGTGTGTACTACATGGCGACTGAGTATTTGGAGTGCTCGCATTGCAAAAAAAGGTCATTCCATGGAGCGCACCAATCCTTTCCCAGCTTGATTTGGGCCATTGGAATCAGTTTCCTGCAATTGTTACACACAAGTATGCGTGTGATCTTCGAGTAATTAGGTTGTTGCGCGACAAAGGTCTCGGCAATGGTCCTTATCGTCTGTGCAAGACCATCGTGGAAGAACACAACGAAAGGTATCTGCAAAAATCGTTGGCTAACTTGACGCAGTGCAAGTCGTTTCAGAACGCCAGTAACATCGGCCTTGTCACCCGACCAGCGTTGAGCGAACCACCACCAATGGCAACCGTCCCAAAGTTCCGCTGGTTGTTGTCGGTTTACTGCCAGGATGTGTTGCTGCGCATCGACGAAGTAAAGTCATCATCACCAGTGTTTTTGGCAGGATTCTGAAGATGGACTCCACCAAGGTCTAAAAATACCACTATATATAATATTTAAACAATTACGAAACTCAGCGGTATTTGTATAGGCCATAAGACGTCTCCAACTATTAAATTTATGTGCGTTGTTTTATTGTGCATAATATATTATTAATGTTAAATAAACTGTTCCCTCCAATTTTTCTCTAATAAACAGGTTGCTAAAAAATTGGCTGGTCCTGCTGCTAAAACAGCCGAGTGGATGACGAACGTTGGCAAGGAGCACGGGCAGATACTGGTCAGCGTGATGACCGCAAAGGAGAGAAATGGGCTTAGCAAGATGGCAAGTGGCATTGTCCAGCGATACGTTGACGCAAGAGTGGATCCTCCTGTCCTGATGTATGTTGATCGGGATTGTTGCTCGGGGAAAACAAAACATCTTTTTCCTGGATGGGGGGACCTTTTGGTTAGACTGGACATCTCCCACTTCATCCGGCGAATTGTTACGGGGTGCTCCACAGAACCACATCAGCTGCACAAGATGTTTATGATCAGACTGTCTCAGTGTATTTTCCATTGGGATAGTCAGGACGTTGAGCGTCTTAAGGTAGCCAAGAAGAACGAGCTGGAGAAGCTGGGGATGCAGCCAGGACGAGAAGGACATCCTTCGTAACATCAGAAGTAGCGAGCTCGCCCTTCACTGTCGAAGAACAACCCGCGTGAGTGGGATGAGTGGGAAAAAGCCAGTGTTCACGTCCGCTGTATCGTAGATCCACCTGGTGTTCAGCTCTACACTGAAACTGGTTCTAGGACAGAGCGAAGAAGTATCGGCTGGTGCTTCTCCACGGCGTTATAAAGAGCGAACGACCCCTGCTAAGTGTTCTAAATGTGGCCAGAATAGAACTGGTGAACACAGACAATATTATGGAAATTGGTATTGCCCTACTGGGCGCGTCTTACGAACAGTGGCGTGAAAAGTTTGGAGATAAGTATAAAAAAAAGAACAAGTAACTTTTTAAATACCAGAAATACCAGGCTTTTCGCATGTAAATAGTTTGTATATACCTATGGGATCATTATATTTTAATAGAACAGCCATGTCGTACAATACAGCGGCATTGCACCACTTTCACGGGAATTATTTTATTCTTTTCATTGTCCTACATTTTAAATATCCCGCGCGTTTGGGGATTCCCCTATAGCAGGGAAAAGCCCTTCCTCTTCCTCTCGCGGGGGTTCCTCAACCGAGAAGATTGTGCCCAATTTTTTGCGCTTAAAGAACGTCAGAAACAGCACGTCGACAGCTGACTTCGCATGTAAGGACGAAGACGTTGTAAAACAGGCTGCAGTGGCGTCTGTGCGGAGGATGGGGGGAAATATGAACGACGAGACAAGTTTACTTGGCCAGTATGAGGTCCAGTTTGCATGCGTTCTGAACCGCCAACAAATGCCCCTTTGTCGAGGAACAAACATTCTTTCAAGCGCTACCTCAGTGGTTTCCCTGAAGGACAGAGTGTTATAGCTTTAAAGGCAGAGGAAAGGGCGAAGAAAACCCCTTCAACGTCAAGTCAGAGTAAGATATATTTTGATAATTGTTATAAGGCCTAAATATTAGAGTGTAATATAGTATATAAAGATCTTGTTTATATGAACAATAAATTTAACTAAGGTAACTCATATAGATTATATAAACAGGGCCTTAATATACATAGGCTATAATGTGATTTCATATCCCAATGGTAAATAATATTTGTTACACAAATTTAGAGAGCGATGCACCGGTACTACTGCCCGAGTCTATGTCGCCTGATGTGAGTGACGCTGACCTTCTGGCGAGTGTGATCGAGATCGAATCTTCCTCACAGACATCATCTCCAGGTTTGTAAAATGTATATATTTGCTTATTATAATATAGGGTTGTATGTAATATTATATACCGGCATATTAATCACAACTTATTGATTATTAATATAGGTAGTATTAGTGCAACTCCCCCACCAGCAAGCAGCGAGGTCAATTTGATTGAGGGTTGGAAGTCCACCTTGCCCAAGCATGACCACCAGTGGGTTTCCTCGGCCCTGTTTAAAGTATCAAACAAGGGAAAACCGGTCTTTGACAGTGCCGAAGTCAACCAGTTATGGTATTACCCACCTCAGCCATCCCTGATACCTACCCAACCACCCTCCGCTGCAAGGTATTTCGCACGCCGATTGCTTCTCTGGATGCCGAGGAAGATGTGGAAGGTAAACCTGCACTGCCCCCACAGCCTGAGTGTGACAAACACCCCCTGACGAGTGCTGGCATATATACCCGTGCACGGCAAGTTCTTGATGTAGACGGGTATTACCATTTAGCATCAGAGTACTTGGAGTGTTCCAAGTGCACCAGGAAATTGATCAGTTGGAGCCCTTCAGGGGCCATGCTAAGATTCGAACTTACAAGGACCAATCACATCCTTTCGTTGTTCCAACATTTGGAACCTCTCGACTAATCACGTCCATAGCCTGTTCCAACTTTGCTCGCGTGCTATTGTGCAATCGCTTGGCTTCGATATAAAATTCCTCAAAGTTATTTAGCACTTTTCTACTGTTTACATCGAAAATATGGCTACATTTCCAAAGTTTCGTCGCTTGTCGAATGGCAAATTAATTGTGCGTTATACTAAGGAAGCTTCGGATGTTATGAAGAGTAAGAATAAACCTTCAGGACAAAGTCAAAATCCCGATGAGGTGAGTGCCAGGAGCGAAGTAATATATTAGTAATATATCGCCTATATTTACACTCAAATAATTGTTGAATATAACCGCTAAACTGTATGTTTTTCGATGGAATTTTACGCTGTTTACTTGCTGAATTTCCAGCTTTGTATCCTTGAAATATTTACATTTTATCCGTGGAATTTACGCGATGCAAATTGCCCTCGTGTTTGCCGGTTTCGTCATGAATAATTTTCACACTCAATATATAAACATTGTGCTTCGATCGTCGTAGTCTCGTAGTAAAATATAGTATATTAAATGCTTTCCTAGCTTAAATACCCTGCTTTATTCATAGTTTCATTTTGTGTGAGGACAACAACAATTGACATAGTATTTTATACCATATATAAAGGCTTGTATTTGATGTTTGAACATGGCTTTTTGTTGTCTTGTTGTGAATGTGAATGTAATATTTTATTCTAGGTTAGGAAACAAGCTCTGAAAGCTGTCAAGGACAGAAATGGTGATGTTGGAAATGATTTAGATGTGAAGGGGGAATATGTCATGCAGTTTGGGAACTTTCGTGGTCAGACATTCAGATGGTTGTTGGATAATGCGTTGGGCTATGTTGCCTGGCTTATCAATTCCATAAGGGGAGAAACCACCACTACGGCAGCTATAAGCCAAAACAAGTCAGCATTCCGGGAGTATGCGATGTCGTTTGAGGCCTGTCGTGATGTTGTGGCTGAAAAGAAAGATGAAATGGACGCAAAGCTGAAGAAGACGAGACCTACACCACCGGCACCAAAGGCGGGATCCCCCCTTGCTCGTAGGTTGGCATCTGGTCAAATAACCAACAGTGAATACTTGGCCAAAGTCTCGAAAGAACCCCGATTTAAGTTTGCACCCACTATCCCACCATCTACGAGAGTTAGACCTAGTACATCCAGCCCCAGCAAAAGTGTGGAGATAGGAGATACTGAACTCTGTGATCTTGTGGCTGAGATAGAAAAGAAGTTAGGTAGGTACCGGGTTTTTTATTTATAACAATAACATGCTAATGACACAAAGTCAGCATGGTTTGCTCAATGGTAGAGCACTTCGAGTTGAAGGTTCAAATCCTTCACCATGCTATATATGTGTTATTAAATACATTTTAGCTGGCAATAACAATTGACTTGAACAGTAATATTTTAAATTATTAAACAGTATTCTCACTATGTATTGTTATATCATATATTCACAGAAAGCCCGGTTAATGTGTCAGCGCAGAAAGAGGTCGAGCAAGTTGTTGAGCAACCTTCCCTTGTTGATGAAGTTCCTGCATCTGAGACGACCACTTCGGAAAGCAGTAGCAATGGTATATGTTGATGTTGTGTAGTTTACCGGGAATATATCAGCCTCGTGCCAGCATGAATGATGAGAATCAGTGTATTTTTTGGTTCATTATTGGTATTATTTTTCTCTTTTTAGTAACCTTGCCCGATGGATGGCTTAGCACGCTACCTAAGGCTGATCATCAGTGGATAGCTCAGGCTTTGTTCAAGGCAAATGCCAGAACCGGTAAAGCAGAGCTAGATTTCGGGAGGTATTATAACATAATATTATCTTAATAATATAATAATAATAAATATAATATAATATTATATAATAATATAATATTATATTTATTATTATTATTATAATATAATATAATAATAAATATAATATAATATAATATTATATAATAATATAATATTATATTTATTATTATTATCAAATAATAATAATAAATATAATATAATATTATATAATAATATTCTATAATATTATTATATAATATTATAATATATTTTAAAATTATTGAATATTTATTATACATTATTTATTATAAATTAATTCTTTTTTAGAGTTAACAAGCTTTGGTGGTATCTCCCTCAGCCGCCACTTATTGCCTCACAACCTCCACGCCCTAGCAAATTATTTTCACAGCGCCTGCTACTGTGGATGCCCAGGAAGCTTTGGGGTGTTAAATTGCATTGCCCCCATCCCACCTGTGAGAAGAAAGAGCTGACCGGTGCCGGCATCGATCCCAGGATACGCCAGGTTCTTGATATCGACAATTTGGCCGCGGAATACCTGGAGTGTAGGGCGTGCAAGAAGAAGGTCATCAGTTGGTCTCCCGCCATTGTTCGCCAGCTGGATCCTGGTCATCAGCTCCAGTTTCCAGTCCTCATCACCTACCAGTACGCCTGTGATGTCAAGGTTATTCGACTTCTGCGACAGCGTAGTCTTGGCAATAGCTCGACCGTGCTTCAAAAGAAAATGTCAGAACAACACGGCGAGAAATGGCTCCAGAAGAGCATTCAGTACTTGACCGAGTGCAAGTATTTTGCTCAAGCATCAAAGAGTGGTCTCATCTTGGCCAAGGAATTCGAAGAGCCCCCTAAGTTTGTCCCGGTTCCAAAGTACAAGTGGTTCCTCACCGTTTATGTGCAGGATATTATGTCGAGGATTGATCACATCAAGGCGTCCATCACCTCCACCTTTGGCCGAGTCATCAAGATGGACTCGACCAAGAAGATCGTTAAGAAACTAGCGGGCCAAAGTTCCGGTACTGCTTCGTGGGCGACCAATGTCGGTAATGAGATGGGTCAAGTTTTGATGAGCGTCTTGACAGCAAGCGAGGGAGTTGGTTTGGCCCCAATGGTGAATGGTCTAATGAAACGATATTCTACTGCTGGTGTTCCTCAACCGAGAAGATTGCGCCCAATTTTTTTGCGCTTAAAGTACGCTGATGTTCGCGGTCACTTTTGGAAGGTTTCTTCCAAAAGTTAACCAATCAAAGGGCAGTATTCACCCCAAATCTTCCAAAAGTCTTCCAAAAGTCTTCCAAAAGTTATCCACTCTGATTGGTCGACGGGAACTTAAGTATTTTCACACGTGTTGGAAGATGGCGTCGTCAAAGAAATCAAAGGTTTGTGCTATATATTTCGCTATTTTTTATACTTTTAATCAAAGTTTCGACTTTGTATTACATGTATGAACTCATGAAAGATAGAACTTAATGTTATGCTAAAAATTCGCACGTTTTTGACCGTTTATTTGTATGAGAAAGTTGACAATATTTACGTAAATTACAGAGCCGCGAATATAGTGCGGCCTTAATAATTACCAAGCACTTTTGATTTAAATTTTATCCGTGTTACTAAGCTTTTTATGAATGTTTATATATTCTAGGACCTTCGACCTTCTTTCAAAAGAATTAAAAATGGAGAGTTGATGTTAAACTATACGGACGAAGCGAAACATTTTAAAGATAACTGCAAGGGGAATTCGGAATTCGCGAGTAAGGATGAAGGCGAAGTCAAACGGACAGTATGCAGTACTAGTGGCGGCAGTGAAAAAGATGGGGAAATATCCAAGACGAAATAAGTGTCCTTGGCCAGTACGAAGTCCAATTTGGGATGTTCAAGGGGAAAACCTTCAAATGGTTGACGGAAAACTGTCTTGGCTACTCTGCTTGGCTTGTCGACAACACGAGAGCTGAAACGACAACAACAGCCCCTTTATCGCGGAATAAACATGCCTTTAAACGTTATCTGACAAGTTTTCCAGATGTACAAAGTGTTGCGGCTTTGAAGGCACAGGAAAGAGTAAAGAAAGCCTCAGCAACATCAAGCAAGAGTAAGCATTTCAAGTTTCATATTATTAGCAATAAATTTTTGGGTGCTATAAGAGCCTGTTTATATTATGAACTATATAAAAATTAACTAAACCTGGACTTGCATAATATACCAGTGGTAAATAATATTAAATATTTGTTATATAAATTTAGAAAGCAGTACTACGCCATTGTTAACACACCAGAGCCCAGGGGCTGTTGCGGCAAAGATGAAAAGGCGATAAATTTTGTAATGGCCACGGGTATATTTTTAAGATAATACAGAAAAACCGGATTTATTCAATGAGGATGAAAGTGATGATGGGCTGGATGAAGGGCTTGGAGAAGAAGAATTTAATCTCACCATACCTGGAATGATTGTTCTAGGAAGCAGTGGTAACGGAATATTAAGACTACAGTATAGATTACATAGATCAAATTAGAGTATGATTTCTTATTCCAGTAATTAATCTGATGATTTTTCCAGAAACATCTCATGAGCAGCCATCAACAAGTGCCACTGAGGACGACATTCCATCTACCCTTGACCAATTCATGGATGATGAAACACCAATGGATGATGAGCCACCAATGGATGATGAACCACCAATGGATGATGATGATCATGAAAAGTCTGATGAAGCCGTAAGTAAAGTTAAAGTTACATAAGGAATTAAAATTGTGACAGCTACAATCTAAAGAAATAGCTATTCAATACATTAACATTTTAGGATGATGCCATTGGTCCTGGTGGTCTTCAAGGTTGGGATGCCATTAAGAACTTGGCTTCCTATTTGTTTTCTCTGAAGACCAAATCCTTTTTAACCGAAGCTGAAGCCAACAGCATCATCAGCTTGTGGAATAAACTCCAGGATGGTTTCAAACAATCGAAAGTATCCTATCCACAACGGTACCGAGACAATTCTTCCAATACTGGTAGATTCAAACAAGCAAAGCCAACATCCCCACACAAGCAGACAGTTAGACCTGGCCTTGTTAGCCTTAGAAGGTAAAATATGCAACCAATAAATAATGTAAATATTTAAATGTTCTATCAAGTCAATAATGTAAACAAACAATTTGTTTACATTTCGAACTGCTATATTAATTGCAGTGAATGATATTCTAACTGGATATCTAACACTGTTTTGTTAGTTTCAATTAAGCGAAATTTGGGCGATATTTATATATGTGGTCCCCATTTGTTATGAGCAGAACTGATATGATATGTGTAACTGTACATATACAGTAGTTAATGTGAATCCATAATAATCGCATTCTAGAGCCATGGTTGGAGGAAACTCGGGGCCCGCAACAGCCATAGATGCCATTTCTGTGGTGGAGGAACTGATTGTCCTCCTTGAAAGGGACTATATGTCATAAACAATAATAATAAAAGCATTTATTTAAACACGATAGTAAATTTACAGCATAGCTGATGTGGTCGTCAGAGAGAAAGGATGGGAGGACGATCGAGGATACTGACCAGCTACCATAATATCAGGGAACTGGTCACCGTTCATGATCTTGTGATGAAGAAGACAAATATGAAGCTGTACGAGCTGAATCAAACCACCTTGATCAATTGGTATGATAATTTAACTAACATCAGCACCATCATGTTTCGCTCGCTACTCTGGTTTAAATAAATTATTACAAAGCCATTGTAATCAAGACCCAATGTTTCGACACTCCAGTCTAGTATCTTCATCAGGGGTGATCTAAAGTTGCAATTGTGGCTTCTTAAATGCCCAAGGGACGATGTCACCAGCCAATGAAATGCGTGTATTCCTCTGGCAAATAATTTGTAATCATTTATTTAAACCAGAGTAGCGAGCGAAACATGATTGATATACCTGGTTGCAGTGAACGGAACAAACTTTAAATCAGCAATATGTTTAACATATATGATACATTTTTCATACAATCAAGATTTAATAATTGGTTTATTATAAATTAAGGTGGAATAAACGTCAAAAAGGGATAGAAAGGAAAATTTTAAGACAGGCCCTCCCAGAGCCGCCACCGACAACAGCATCAAAGCCTCTTCCACCAGCTAAACCACTGCAGCCCAAGCCTCTTCCCACTCCACCAACTGCCCACCCTTTTGTCACCATCGCAGCCTTACCATCCAACATACCTACCAGACCACAACTGCCTTCCACTTCAAGCATCTCAATCACTCAAATTTACAACCATACATGTTCCCCGAACCACAGAGTACCACCATCGAAAGAGGCAGCTGTAGCAGGAGGAATCCTCAGATGCAAAAGAAAATATACAAGAAAGGCTTGCTTCAACACATGCAAGCATTGTAGGTTCCCCCAAACGAAAGATTTTGGAGACAGCAAGCATATCGGCATCCACAGTGTGGATACCTTTTGTGCTGCTGTGGAAGGAAACGAATTTGGGACAAAAGAAGCGTGGATGGCGACCAGGAAAATGGTGAACCCACCCAAACCAAAACCCACGGATTCTTCTGACCAAAAGTAAATATTAAATCTAGTTGTAAATATTAACGTCTTTAAACAATGTCTTATTTATTAGGACCACGGCCATATTCAACCCACACCAATTAATAACGTCGAGACACTGATTTCAAACTCATGTTTTTTTCACTTCCAATGAGCACGATTATTTTGGGCTAAGAGTATGAAGACCATTTTACTAGTAATATGGGTTTGCATATTTTGAAAATATTGTCATTGTTGTCAGTGCTATGCGCTACAGCAATATACCAGTCTTCCAAAAGCTTCCAAAAATTCTCCACTCCAACTGGTCGACGAGATCCTTAAGTATTTTCACACGTGTTGAAAGATGGCGTCGTGAAAGGTTAGCGATATATTTTAAATATTTGCACATTTTATTCAAACTTTCGGCTTTCTGAGAAGCTTTAAAAAATCTTACTACATTTACCTCAGGTTTTATATACTGGTTGTTTGTTAGTATTTGTTGAAATTTTACGAGGAAGTGCGGTAGCGCGGTCTTCGTATAAAATTATATAAACTATAAATAAGCCATCCGTAATTTAAATTTTCTCCGTAGAGTTTCGCTTCGAACTAACGCATTTTTTATTTGTTATGTATAGGGTCCACGACCTTCCTTCACAAAGCTTTCGAACGTGAATATAAATTAAATTAAATTACAGAGAGGAAACAAAGAAATATAAAGATTCTAAATCTACCGATAATTCGTCGTATCGCTGTAAGAGCGAAGACTAAGTAAAATACAATGCAATGGCCGAAGTTCGCAGAAAAGGAGGAGACTCCAGCGACCAGTTAAGCGTTCTCGGCCAGTACGAGGTTCAGTTTAGTCTCTTCAAGGAGAAAAGCTTTCAATGGCTGGCGGAAAATGGACTTGGATATGCGGAATGGCTGGTGGACAATATGAGGACCGAGACTGCTACAACAGCACCGTTGTCAAAGAACAAATACTCGTTTAAAAACTATTTAAACAGTTTTTTTCCGATGGCCAGAGTGTTGTGCAGTTGAAGGCGAGCGAAAGGATGAGGAAATCAACATCTGTACCAAGTCATAGTAAGTTTATAATCAACATGTGTTTTGATGTATGCAAGTGTGTAGTGTGAGGGTCTGTTTATATCAACCTAGTTTTAATACTTCATACATACAAGGTCATATATAAACAGGCCCCAATACTGTATAATATAGCCTTTGCTATTTACACATCTCAGGTGTAAAAATTTCATATTTATATGAATATAGGTATTCCGTTAGCAAGACAGAGTCCAGCAGCAATTGCAGCGAGGCTGAAGAGAAGATTTTCACATACCAGTGTTCAACAAAATATACCACCACAAGGTTATTGTATAATAATTCTTCCTTGTTTGTGACATTGTGTTTTTAAAAATATAAATAGATGTGTCGATGTTGTTGACAACAACAAATTTTATACATTATCATTGAGATTTTCTCGTGAAGATTGAAGTTGGTTTCATTATTTTCAGTATATATTCAGGTTGAGTATATTGTACGAATAACAATTCTTGTGGTCACCTTGGTAGTGGTAGCCTATATTATTAATTTTACTTGTATATATCTATCGCTGATAATTCTATATTTCATTTACGATGGCTGCTTCGTCCACGGGCACTGATATACATAGGATACTTATTTTGGGCCACTCATTTGTTCGTAGACTTCGAAGCGATCTACATGCACGTTTTGACGAGCGGGCAGCCAAAAACTTTGACCTTCAGGGAACAGCCGAAATAGTTATGCATGGCGTGGGAGGCCGCACAGTCCCCAAATTAAGAAAGTTGGATATGGGGGTAGTCACTGGAATATCCCCTGATATTGTCATTCTCGAGATCGGGACGAACGACTTAGCTCTTACCTCACTTGAGGTAGTGGGTTCTGACATCGAGGAACTTGTTCGCTCGTTGGTCGCGAAGTACTCCGTGTGCGCCGTGGTTTTGTGCCAAGTCACTCCACGTGCGACGAACAAGAGCTCTAATTTTAATGAGAGAGCCAAGCTTTTGAACCAATATACCCGGGTAGTGATCGATCCCATAGAACACGCCATTTGTTAGATTCATAGAGGTTTCTCGAACCCATCAGTAACCCACTTTTTATCAAAGTATGTAAAAACTGTATGGTATTTATATAGTTGGCGGATTTTCTTAACTTGTAAATATAAGCGTAATTCAGCCTACTGACTGCAATGCTTATATGAAATAAACCATCTATCTATATAGTATGTATATACTATATAGTATTTATTTTTTAGTATTTTATACTATATATATAAAAGCTTGTATTTGATGTCTGAACATGGCTTGTCGTTGTCTTGTTGTGATTATATATTATTTTATTCTAGGCTAAGAAACAAGCTCTGAAAGCTGTCAAGGACAGAAGTGGTAATGTCGTGCCCAGAAATTCCAACGTTTGTTGGAAAATGCATTGGGCTATGTTGGTTGGCGGATAAATTCCATGAGAGGAGAAACCATCGCTACGGCAGCTTCAAAAGCCAAATCAAATCAGTATTCAGGGATTATGCAATTTCGTTCGAGGGAGGTCGTGAGGTTGTGGCCATTAAAAAGTCTGAAATGGAGGCAAAGGTTGTTTATATTTACATATAAACAGGCTGAAGCGAAACAGAAAGTGATAGCAGCCAAGGGGGATCCAAACAATGTTGAATGGGTTCTTGCTATGACAAACTTGCAGTTTGGCAAGTATCGCGTTGCCTATTCGAGTGCCTATTCAAGTGATCTTGAAGCACTCTATGCAGCAAAGAGGGCAGAGTTGCATGTAAAATGGGATAAAGTCTCCATCTGCCAAGGCTGTAATGAATACTGTCTCAAAGGAGTTGGCAAAGCATTGTCGGAGAAGAACCAGGGGTGCAGTTGAGATGGAGAGCCAGTTGACAGAACTGTTCCAACTTCCTGGTTAGTGCAACAGATGTGCTTGGGGTACCTCTTTTCCGTGATGAAATGTTGACTGAGATATGGCCAGAGCAAAGGAAACATGTGCCATGCCTTCAAGACCCCCCAGGTGTAAGCCTTTACACTGCCACATGTACACTGAAGAAAGGAGGCAAAACACTATCTGTGTATTGATGTGCCCGTGGTAGCACATCATTGGAAAGTTTTCACCTTCATCTAAACAGGTTCATACCAGGTAAATAATATGGGATTAGGTAGTGTTTTGAAATGGATAGTTCTGTTCAAAGATGAGCATATTTCAAAGGAATAGAAATATCCATTTTAAGATATCAAATACTATAACTTTATATAGCATGACAAACATCTAGACACACTGTAGAAACTTATCATTGGCTTGTTTTCTTTGTGATTACTCTACTAGGGACATCAGCTGGTGCAGTGGCTTTTCAAGCATATCTGGTGGAAGGCTTGGCAAGATGGAATGGAGAGAGGGCTGTGCAAGACAGTGTGACAATCGAGAAGTTGAGGAGTTTCGACATCTCACTCATGGAGAGTCAATGCGTTGTCATCAGCAATTTACACTGAGGCTGCTCTGACTAACTTTTCCACTCCATCTGCATACACAGGAGAAGTGATTGGAGTGAAATACTTACGCTTGCAGACAAGCTTGCAAATCGATAAGACTGTAATCGTTACATGGAGTCGCTGTTTATCATGCATGCTTTGTCAAGAGTACCCCTCCAACGTGAAGAATGGTAA